TTAACAATTAATAATTTAACAAGAATATTAAATATTATTAAATAAACCTTACTTTATTTTTAACGATTAATTTTTGATTGGGATTAACAAATTTACTTTTAGCAAGTTGAGTTTTTAATTGATTTAAAATTTTGGATTCAATTTCCTAATAAAAATAAAAAGTCAATTAATTAATCAATTAAATTATAAATTATAATTAAATTTTGTAATTAAAAAAAACCAATACTTTTGCAGTAATTATATTAACAGGAACCTCTCCTCTATGAGCAGTCATTATTAAATTAAATGCTTCGATAATTTTGGATGTTTCATTGAGCCTATTATTTTCTGCTAAAACTTTAAAAAAATTTATTGTAACATCAGAATATTTCTGGTGACTTAAAACCTTTTGGATTCCTTGTTCTTTTTTATTTTTACTCAAAGATGGATCCCCCAAAAAATTATTAATATTTTGATCTTTCTCAATTAAATCCTTAATATGATGAAGCTCTTTTTCAACATCATTAAGATGGTTTTTTTTTAATGCTGCTGTATATAAAGCTGTAGCATATCTCCCATCAATACCATAAAGAATTAATGGAACCTAGTTCAAAAAAAAAGAATTCAATTATTACTCCATGAATAATATTTAATAAAAAAAAATTATATCTACCTTGATAGGATTTGAACTTGCGGGGGAAGCAAATCCTCTGGCAAACTACAAAGCAAACATAATTAATCATTGCATATTAAATTATTTCTATGAAGGAATGTTACTCTATATATATACTTTTGAAGTTGATAAAAGTCTTCTTTGTAACAAACTTGACGAAATGAGTGAGGCCATAATAAACCAACAAAAAAAAATTTTAATTTAAAAATCAGTCCAACATAGAATTTCTAAGCATGGTGGACATTCGTATAATTGGTAATGATTTTCGTCGATCATATCATACAAAAATTTTAGTTCTATAAAAAAATGGGGCAAACGTTACACGAATAAAATTATTATCGTCCACTTCAAAAAAAAAATCTCCATTTTTCATATAACAAGCGATTTTCAACCATGATAAAAATTTTAGAGCCAGACTAGAACTTTCTAACAACAGTTAAAAGAAAAGGTTAGCTTAAATATTGGTTATTCTACACTAGGTTAGAAGCATTTCTTTTCTTCACACTTATTTTAAGATTTTCTTCCACTAGTATGCAGACTAAAGCAAATTCAGCAGCAAAAATTGAGCCAAAGTGTTCCCTACTAAGTCACTTATAACTACTTGAAAGGTTGTGTTAGAAAAATTTTGACTTTAATTATAAGAGACTGATTTATAATTATTTGTAGGTTATTAATTTATTATAATATTACATCAGGAAAATGGGTACAAATATTATGTGTATATAATACGCAATTGCAGGGATTAAGCATATAATATATGTACAATTTGCATACATAAAA